TCTCAACCTGTCAACAGGGCAGCTGCACCGGTAATAGTGCAATTGTCTCAGAAGTGCGTGCTGATCGGTGACGACCATAGAACATCCACTTTATATTGACTTGTAGAGCTTCTTATGTTTGGTGGGTTGGGTGAGAGATGTCTGTGTAGTTTATTGAGAATTCGATCAGGGAATATGCACTTTACGGTAAATTCGGGAAAGTATTTACATGTTGGTAAAACAAATTATCATCGAAATTATTTGACTTAGGCTGATTTAGGCAAAAAAATTGAAATGTGCATCAACTGCCGTTTTAGGACATTTTAGGCATTATTAGATATTATCAGTAGACCTTTTTTTCATTATTCGTAAACATCTGCAATTACTTTTTACAACCTCATATAGGAACTAAATAGGAATATGCCCTAAAATGTGAGGTCTAGTCGTCGTACGTCCCTCTCTCCATGAATTCAAAAGACTGTGCCACAACTTTGAGTAATCGGATGTCAGGCCATTCCGACCGGGTTGCTGCACCCCCCAAGAGAGAGGGAGAGAAATTGCCAACCTCCGCGTACACAATGTGCGCACACTTTTGCTCTCTTCCGGAAGTTGTCTGGGCCGCAGTGTTTTGACGCGCGGCAGCCCAATTCGATGACGTGTCGCTCGCGCTCGCAGCTCTTTGACAGGCCCTCGAGCCGTTTCATTCGCTCATTTTGTAGGCGATTGATGTTTTGGCGGACGACCGAGTAGAAAGTCAACTGATTTGCGAGGGCGTGTCAGGCGCAGAACAGAGCAATTGCGCCGACGCACCGTGTAGGACATTTATTTCGATTCCCGTACTACTAACACTGTTTTCGTACTTTCCCTGCGTCATAGAACGGGATAAAACATTCGAATTGAGGCTTATAGTGATTTGGGTAATTGTACGGAAAGTAAGAGGTTGATGGAGGAGTCCTCCATTTCGAAATGCGTACGCTGAAGACACTTTCATAATGGTTTCGAGCATTATTTTCTAGTGCGAATTCTTGAAAATTGTACTCTTTGTATCATTCTCAAAACGCAGAACGCGGTGGCAGCCATGTTGACCTATGTCGCTTCAGTGTTTCGTTTATTTTGCTGTTCCCAGTTGTTTTATACGGCAATGACTTATTTGCGTAACGCGTACGGTAAAATAACTCATTGCAATCAATAAACAGTACTACAACTGGAAGTCCTAGAATGTCAATGTTACATATTTGTGAAGTTCTATCACAATAACTGATATTTTACTATTTATTTGGAAGATATTCTTGCTGAAAATAAGAGTTAGAATGTGCAACGAAATTAGTGAACAATAAAACACACTTTTTGTGAGACATTTGACTTATTTTTGAAGCTGGCACATTTAGGTTTTATGCATTTCTTTTTTTAGCGGCTGAACGTAAATTTTTCAACTTCTAGTACAGTAGTTAATATTGAATGCTTCCCACATACTCTTAACGGATTGACAAATATGTCCAAAATATCGATATAGTGACACTGAAATATATTATGTTACCAAAACCTGTATTCCAAACATCATTGTTTGAAAAAGGAAATTTCGTATACCTATCTTGCTCCTAGGTTGTTTAAATAGTTTATTAGTTGTGCTACAGAATAAAAAGACTTTCTCGTCCTTCTTCCGGGCTAGCGTTTCAGTACCACACCCTCCTTCCACCGCTAACTACCTAAGCATTCTAATTGTTCGCTCCTGTAAAATAGAACTGAAATATGACTAAGAATATTAGAGAAGAGCCCTGTATGCAAATTTTAATTTAAATAAATTGGAGTCATTCTTTTGAAAAATTCTTTTGAACGTTTCTGAAAATTGTACTTCCAAATACAACAATGTATGAAAATGCTCTTACCTTTAATGTTAATGGCGTGAGAGATATTTCAAAAGATTAATTCTTTTTCAAATACCAAATAATAAATGAAAATGGCCATATTATTCATTGCAATTAGCACTACCCTTACGAAACATTTAAACGAAATCGGAGCTGTTTACTAGAAAACGGCGTGTGAGTGTTTATGAAAATGCACAAATTTGAGCTTATTTTATCAGGACACGTTTCTTTTTGAGACACACAACAATTATATGAAGTACATGTTCTCAAGGATGCAATAATGTATAAAAACATCTTTAATGTAAATATTAATATTAGAGATATATTCTCATAGTGCACTGTAAGAATTCTAGCGGCCGGGTGCTCTGATCGGTAGTTTTCCGAAGTTTTTGCGATCAAAACAAAGCGAACGTTGGAGTTATACCCTAACAAAAGCGCCACAGCTCGCAATCTTTCCTTTCTCTTCCTTTCTCCTGTAAAATATTAGTAATTTTGTTTACATTTCCTCTACGTCCTGTCCTGCATCGCCCTGTCCCGGTTCATGCTGCACCACCCCACTCTCCGCCTCCCTTTTCACCCCACTTCATTGACCTCCTCAACCCCCTTTCCTCACAGATTCATTTTGCTCCTCTCTGCTCTTTCCTCCCCGCTTCATTGAACTTTCCTCCACCCTTTACTCCCCGCTTCATTGCGCTATACTTAACCCTTTCCTCCCCACTTCATTGCGTGATACTTAACCCTTTCCTTCCCAATTCATTGTTCTCTACTCCATCCTTTCCTCCCCACTTCATTGTGCTGTACTCCAACCTTTCCTCCCCGCTTCATTGAGCTCTACTGCATCCTTTCGTTCCCGCTATATTGTGTTTTATTCCACCCTTTCTTCCTAGCTTCATTGTGCTCAACTACACGTTTCACTTTGCATTATTTCTCCTTGAATTTATTCATTTCTTCTCAGTTCGTTTATTTTTTCCATTTCACTTCTCTTTTTATGTTCAGCGTCACACCACCGGGCTGAATTCTGCTCTAATTGTCTTCCTGGTTGTCTTCTCACAGCTTCCTCCTCATTACTTCCCACTTTACCACGTAGCACGCACGGCAGGTTCTCTCTCTCTCTCTCTAGTTCTCCCTGTTTTTTTCACTCCGGTACATTCACCTTCTTCCCGCTTCTACATTGGATGTATTTTCGTGTTTCTGCGGTTCCTTCGGGTCTGTTACGCATTCGTTTAGTACTCGTTTTCCTTATGTGCTACTAAGTGTTAGTACTAGTACGTGTTCCCCTAAACTTGTGCTACCTCACACAATGCCCAACTACTTACACCTTCACTCTCTTCACTCCACTTTCCCCGAACTGTCCTCCTCCTTCCCTCTTCTCTTTGTCCCGCTCCTTCCCGACCATGTCGGTTCTCGTCATTCCGCTGCACTCCACTTCCCTCTTCTCCCCTCATTTGTCCCGCTTCGCCTCATTCCCCCTCCCCCTCCCCCTCCCCTGCCCTGCCCCGCGGGCGGCTCTGATTCCCTGCCGCGCGTAAATCCCGCGCATCAAGGGCCTCCCGCCGCGGGGCGCGGGGGCGGGGGATGTGGCCCGGGCAGCTACGCCCACGCCCACGCCCACGCTCCCTTCCACGCCGCGCCGGCGCGCTGGGAGCCAGCACCTGCGGCGGGCGGAGGTCAGCGCCGGGCTCGCACCTGCGGTGGGAGAGCCGGATTCGCTATCGCAGGATGGTTTTGCGACTAATGATCACAAACACGAAAACAATCTTCGTTATTGAATACGATTTTCATATTTTGTGGGCGTGTCATCTAGTTCGTAGTCAAATGGTTTCTCGAGTTTAGTGCGTTTTAGAGATGGGAGAATCCGGCGTGGACCAACACGTCGATTTGCAGGGTTTTTCACTCCAGGTATCTCTCCAACTCTCCAGCTATCCACCGCTTTAGGCAAGACATCGAAGCTCGAACACATAACGGACGCTCGGTCTGGTAGTGTTATTGGTTTGTAAGGGTAATGATGCTAGTGTCAAAAATAGGCCTTCGTCATAATTGAGTGTAGATTGATAGAGAAGGAAATATTTACGCAATTAAATAACCTTACTGTTCGTATTTTATTTCCCAAACTGCTGGACTGTTAATTTTTTTAAATTACTGCTGACGCTTAGGTTAATTACTACTTACTTAAAGTAGTGCACACCGCATGCGCTGTCGTATGTTGAAATGTTTTATGTGATTTTCACGTGCTCTCGTGCTGGTGCAGTCATTCACATCCTCTCTTTACCCGTAAAGCATGGCCATTGTCTTACATCATCGGCCTGTGGGCCTTTTATCTTTTGGGCGGGCTGTATGGCACGCAGAGGATCGTTATTCACGTGCAGGAAAAACCTATGAACCGACATAATAGGGCTGCGAGGGTAGTATTATCGACGATAATGACTCCTTCTGTTTGGAGGAGAATCTAGAGACCGGCTGCTCTCAGACAAAACGGCTTCGGAGCCTCGGTCCGTGTATGATAATTTATTTTTCTTCCTTGGCCTATCTTCTCCTCTTCAAACACACACTTACACTTACAAACACTACCATTCGTGTGGGGAGAACAGCAGTGTACATAGCGACGGTAGTAAAAGTTTCCATTTCAATTTTTCATTTAAATTACCCATTCTCATTTATATCGTAGATAACATTTGGAATAAACTAGTAATTTCTGATATACGAATAAATCTAAATCTCCACGTTCATCTAAGAATAGTGCAGCCAATTCCTTGAAATAAAACCTGTAATTCAATAGTTCTACCTTCAAATTTCACGCGGTTTCGTGCTTCGCAACCACTAGCTAATCAGAGGCTCGAGGTGAATGAATTAAGTTTACTTGTATGTGTTCCGGATGGGGTGATGCGCCTGAGGAAGGCGCATTTCACCCTGAGGATGGTGCATTTTGCTCTGAGGAAGGAGCATTTCACCATGAGGAAGACGTATTTCGCCATGAGGAAGGTCGCTGAACGGTGGCCGAAACTTTGACACCTGTATCTAGGACGCGGTGCCTCCCGGACAGCCAAGCAGCTACTGACTCCAGCCGCAGAAGCCAACGCTCTCAGCGACCGATGAGCCGTCATCTGTACTGCCTCTCGAGTCGCACTTTGTCACCCCCTGTTCCCGGGCGGCGAGCACATGTGCGTGGTCAGCGGAGGGCCGAGGGGGCGGCAGAGCGGGGAGGGGAGGGTGGGGAGGCGCCGGCTGCTGCGGGCGGATGATGGCGAAGGCTGGTTGCAGCCTCCGCGAGAGGGCGCGGGCGGCGAGGAGAGGAGAGGCGAGGCGCAGGTGCGAGCGGGCGCAGCTGAATAATGCAGGCGCAGCGAAGTGCGCGCCGGAAGATGTGTGGCATCGCCGGATACAATCCGCTCCCCTCTCAATCCGGCGAGCGCTCTGCGGCTCTGCCACTGTGCGCGCGTGCGTGCGTTTGAGTGAAAGAGGACGCGCCTGAACTGAAGGTCGATCCGTGGTGAAGCGGTTGCACCGCTCGCAGGACACCACTTGGACTGGAGTTCAATTCCCGGTCGATCAATGTGAAATGTATTGTCGACAAAAAAAAATGCAATATGTTTTCTCAGGTTCTCTCATTTCTGTCTTTCAATCCCCCTCAGCTTTACCATGTATTTATCTTCATAGTCACCTATTGGCCAAATATTTGTGCATTGCAATTCCTATAAAGTGGATGTGTGTGCACTGCGCTCAAGCCAGCGATTTTCTGTGTGTCTGAATGGAAGAGGTGGAAATAGAACTGCCATTGAACTAGTACTCTTCCAGTGGAATAATGCAACAATCACAATTTCACCGCAAATCACCATTCTGCTAATCCATATATTTTTTCGCTTTACTTCCCCTCGATGTTTTCATTCGTTGGTTGATCCGTTCATTTATTTGTTCATTGTTCCAATTCGATTCATTTAAGCTCGTTCTTTTATTCATTTATATCATAATTCACCCCAATTCCTCCAAATCATATTATGAAATTCCAGCGACTCACTAAATGTATATTTTTCACAGTAGTTCCTGCAATTTCGTATCAATTTGAACCTGTATGAGATAATATTTTCTTAAATATTTCACAAAATTTGGCAGCATGAAAACACAACTCGATGTGAGGTAAACCATGCATATTTACATACGAGTTCAGCAGTCGGTCGAAAACGGATTTAATATCTTCTGTTTATGATGTGATGGGTTTGTTTTTAGGAGCAAGGACAAGGAACGAGACTCTCGTGCTTGAGAACTGTCGAGCGACTGACGTGTACTGCGTTGGTATTTTAATATAATACAAGGCCATAAATGTCGGTGAGTAATTAAATAATCAAGACGCTATTTTTTGAAAATTAACTTCAAATTAAAGATACAAAGATAGAAAGGGGAACCATCTGGAAGAATACGTTTGATTAGCAAGATACTAATCGTTGAAGAACGTCGGTTCTGAGTACCGTCATAGTAGGATGAACTTTTCATTTTTCGTTTTAAAAGAATTTCACAGATTGTAGAAGAACAAGTTTTGTTTCAATACAGTAACAAATTATAATTATCAAAATGTAGGTAAAACGAGCAAGAATTGAGGCATTCCAGAGTAAAAATTTAAATGTTGGATTTGGTTAACCCATTAGTCCCAAAAACAGTTTGATTCAGTATTTAAAAGGATTTGAATATTATATATTTGTTCGTGGAAAAGGAGCTTTTAATAATGATAAGTTGACATTGTAAAATAAATGGTGAATAACATTGCCATGTTCAAAACGGAAGACATTAATTCTTTTGTTTCATTTCTGTCTTGTATACCTCAATTGTTAACGTAAGCTGATAATAATTTATGTAATCCGTTTTTCCGTAAGAATATATCGTGTCCTATGATTAAAAACTACATTTTTGACATATTTCTTTTGTTAAATACAGTTTATGAATCGGGAACATTAAATTTTTGTTTTCAGAAGCAGCGGTGATTAGCCAATATATTGGTATACCAGTCTACATGGAGCAGTAGCAGTAGTTGAAAAAAATTAATGTGACGCTATATAGAATAAGCAATACCCAAAAGTCAATAGTTCTGCACTCTGGTAGCTGGAATCGATAACTCGTATTCTTTTTGTGACCACTTTGTGTTTTATAAACTATTTTAATGCATACAAAATGGTCACAAGGAGCTTAATAATATCCTCCATTTCCGCCTTGAAAGTGGATACTTATTATATACATCTGTAATATCACGTATACTCTGTAATACTTGCGCGCCTAGTTTTCTTTTAAATATCCGAAACCATTTGAAGGAAATATGGCAATGATACTATTTCTCTGTATAATATTTATATAACAAATTCTGAAAACAACTTTACGTGATCATTCAGTAAAATAATACAGTAATAAAAATCTCTAGTATTCTAAACACATAATACTACTGATTAATTATCAAACAATCAGTTATGTAGGTCTTGGTATACTGATTAAATTGTATTCCCACCTATCTTTGCAATATCTTGATTTACAGTTGTTTGCTCACAGCTAATAAAAATTGCAATCGCTCGCAAATTAATCACGCATGCCCAAAACAAGAAACACTTAAGACGCCTTTTGGCAAGACGGATTTCTATTCCTCCTGCCCGTTGGTCCCGTACGTTCGTACCTGTCGAAAATATTACTGTAGCAGATTTTGAAATGCCACCACGAAGAAGCTAAGTTGGCGCATTCCCTTGTCGATATCATCAATAAGCCAGAGTTTCACCTCCTAATATTATGTTTTACCATGACTACTTGATCGCCATTCTTATATTATGACGATGTTGAAGAATAATGAATCATGGGTTCATTATGGTACAGATTGTCTTTCGTATTTTCAATGTCCGTACACATCACGAAAGATTCGTAGCATTCGAAATCACCTTATATTATAAAGTCAACTTCACATACCAATTCAGCACGACAAACTTCACCTCAATTCTATTATTATGTTTCGAAGGCTGATTGCCTCCATCTGCAGAACCTAAGACATACATATTAAACTCCATTATACTCACAAAACCATTGTTTATCTTCTATAACATATTATTTCATAAGTCACAATTCTTAACTTTTCATAACCTAAGTTATGAATTGTGACTGATGACTCGTTATTGAAAAACATTTATTGAAGTGAAGTTAGTGTTGTGGTTTTTGGTATGTGAAGTCAAATTTATAATGTATGGTGATTGCCAAATGCTATGGATCTTTCGTGATGTTTAACAGACGTGAAGAGTAATGAAGCCTGCGCATCGATTTGGCTCGTAAACTCATATGGATCCCAATAGTTCTCTAGATTCCCGAACTATCGTAACTCCCGAGCACATCAGTTCGTGGATTAGGTAGTGATGGGCACTTCAGGAAGCACTTGCATGACTTTGACCGCATTAGGCCATGGGTTAGTTGAGTTGCGCGCGATATATTCCTTCATACTAATTACCGAGGTAGGAAAGAAGGAGAAAGAGGTTGAGAAGAGATGCATAGTGGTGTAGGATTGTAGAGCTTTGGTGTCACGCTACTAGAGTGAAGTATAAGCCACGAGCCCGGACTGTCATGTTTGTAATATTTTACTATTGCAGATTAGCTCACACAAGTTTTTATTCAAATGTCCAGGCACATGTGAGACTTTCTTCTAAATCCAGAAAATGTTAAACAGTGTAAAGTTGCGGGTACACATGTCGTCCCTAGAGCTAGCGGAGCATTTCCAGTAAAGGTACAGTGATATGTTTTCAGAACGCCCACGCGTTACCAGCTTTTTTACAGGCATCTTGGCACAATCATATTGTAGGGAATTTCGCAAATATGACGAAGTGAATATATATCAATAGCGAAAAAAGCTGTGTCTAACGGGTCTTCCATAAAAACCTGTCAAGAGACGCATGCTTGCCACGTGACGAGACGCATGAGACGAGACGCATGAGACGAGACGCATGAGACGAGACGCATGACACGAGACGCATGACACGAGACGCTCGTCAGGAGAAACATCCTGAGGAGCAAGAGCACATTGTTATAGAGCGATTTTTATAACAATGAACCGGTTTGACAGCTAGTGTTGGCAATATAACTGAAGGTTCTGTGGTTGTTGTGTCCTTGAGTCTATTAGACTCTCTTTCCTTCATTCGTTCGTTTGCAGTTAGCTAACTTGTAAATGGGTTTGACGCTTCCTTTTGTGATGTGCTCGTCCGACGAAAATATAGAGTGTCACAGGAAAAAAATTTGGAAGTGTAGTGCTATATACCCTTTTGTAAAAATTCTTTTTTATAAATATTACATTGAATTTAGTTTTTGAGTGATAAGTATTGTTTATTTAAAAACGAATCTTGAATGAAAGATGCGTATTGGTGCATGTGTTTCCAGCTGAGATAGCTGTGCAGTATCTCTGTAGGTGTCATCGAAAACATGTTTTAATTGCTTGAAGTCCTCATTGAAACATACGTTTTTGAGAATTACATTAGAATGTCCTGGAAGGATTTTGAAAATGTTTAGTTCTCCTCCAGTGCTCTGAGACGTATGCAATGGTATCTCACTTTCCTGTAATTGTGAACAGGAAGAGATATAATCGTGAGGCCCTTTTGAACAACAAAATTATCCAAATTATTTATGTATGGTTTTCCACTGTTTTTGTAGATTTTTCTACACTTCTGTTATAACCGATGGTGTGTTTTTATTGTCTTCCCGCTGTGACATTCCCAGAGATTCACACTAAAGATGGGACATTAATGGCGATGTTTTGAAAATTATATTTTTGCTGAAATATCGATAATAAACATCAATGTATTAACGCCACTGTTTTTTTGCATAGATGTTATGGATTCGATGGTTTTTTCGTTGTTTTGTTTCGGAAAGAAACATTTCCATGATAACAATACTGTAAAAGTTAGTATATGAAATAACTGGTAGTAAAACTGTTAGTTCACGTGTTGGAACCAAAGGGACACTATTTGTTCTACCTTGGTCTCTTACCTTGAACTCTCTCGCCTGAGATGACCTCCATGCCCTTGAATTTCCTCTTTCTTCATGTCCATTTCGCACATTGAGATGTGGTAAATTAATACGCTGTGGGAATAGGGTCTCCCTCTTCTTCTCGTACCCTTATTATGTGAATTGATAAATACGAACACTGTCAAATTAAATTTTGGTGCACGCGAATTAAACGCGCACTAAACCAGTCTAAAAATATCGATCTTTCGTAACATCGATATTGCATCACTACTTCTCACGTTCTCTTCCTCAGATGGCTGCCACTTCTTGCTGCACCCTTTCCCACATGTCTTGCTCTCCACGCCTCCCGTCTCCCTTCCGCCCGCTTGTCGCCAACAAGCAACGCGCGGAGGGGAGGGCAAGACTTGCTCCGAGCACTAAATCCTCTGCGTGGGCGGCTCTCCGCAGCCGAAACGTCTGCCGGCCAATTCCGACAATATCGTCTCTGCGTCATAAGTTATAAGTCTCTTAGTGATGCAGCCATTTCGCCCTCTTTCAAATTAATATAAATCTCGCTCCTAATACTGAAGAGGAAAAATAATGTTAAAGGGAGCTTATTTTGGCGCTCTTCCAAAAGCAATATCGGGGCTTTCCCTGCAAAAATTGTGGGCCCTCCAAGCATCTGAACGCGCAGCCTGGAAGTCCCGGTCCAAAAGTTGTACATCACATGTACATCAAATACTCTTGATTCTTGTTCTTAAAGCTTTAAACATTCTTTGAAGTACCGAATGTTCTGTAAGTATTAAATTACGGTGTTCAGTCTATATTGCTAATGTACAATGCGCACAGATATTGAAATAAAACTATACATACGGGCTTAGGAGGCTCTATACATCAACGGATGCCACTGCAGTGCCCTGACCGGGAGGTCCTAGGGTGCGAGTTCCGTTGGTGGCAAGATGTACGACAGCAACTACATAGTCGCTGCCTGGACTGGAATTTTATCGCAGGCTACTCTTATTGGTGGTTTTCTGTACTTCCGATTGCTAGTTTTCCGATCAACTCTAGGCGAATGCCGGAGCAGTACTCTGGCAAACGAGACACGGGCCACGCGCTTTCTTTACTTCCTCTTTCTTGTCCCGTACTATCCCTAACTTACGCACACTTACACTTATATTCACTACACTAACACACATACCGAGAGAGCTTAGAGCTTCTCCCGTCTGGGGTGATGCCGTATTGGGGGAGATATCTGGTTGGGGAAAACCACGCAAGCTGAGGGGTGTGTCGGCGCCTGATCTCATCATCCAACCAGGGAAGATTACCGCCATCTCCCGCGATAA